GCGCGCGGGTCGAGAGGTAGGTGGCGCCGCGCACGCGCGCGGGTCGTGAGGTAGGTGGCGCCGCATGCACACGGGTCATGAAGTCGTCGTTTAAGTCCGCGCAAACTCAGATGACGTGACGCTAGAGCAAAGACTCTAGATCTAGAGCTCAAGACAACCAAAAATTGCGCAAAGTTCGAATCGTGGAAAACTCGCGGGACGTCGCAACGCGTCATCGTTGCACGTGATCTTTCTGGTTGGCTTGAGCTCTAGACACTAGGGTGTAGGGTCTTAGCTCTCGGGCCGTGTCATCAACGCTGCCCCAGTTTACGCGGGGTTTTTTCTGATTTACTTGAGCTCGCGATTTTGCGCGAGTTTCCGTGAACTCGGCACCTTACATTTTACGTTCACACTCAGACTCTGCGGTGTGAATAGAAATGAATGGACGTTCGAATAGAAGACTATGTGCACTGCAATCAACTAAGGCCAAAACAAAATATAGGTGTGGGTACGGTTTCCCGACCGACCCTATTTATTCCCAGCGACCCTAAACATTTAATTGTCAATTTTCTTAGTCAAAAATTTTTTTTTAAATGTAAAAAAATAAAAAATAAAAATATGAATTGGACAGTTCCTGCTTCAAAAGGCACAACGCACATCCTTCGGACATGGTTCGTAAATAAAATATTTCAAGAAAATAAAATGTTTCCCTTACCTACCTACCCTATTTTTTTTCGGCATGTAACGGTAACCACACATATATTTTGTTTTGGCCTAACCTGCAGGCGGGTTTAGAAACGTGGATTCACGGCGACGACAAAAGATGGCCGCCGCCGCCGCGCGTACCAACGATTTAGGATCTGCAGGGGGGTTGGCGGAGCGGATAAGCGCAGCTGTTGCTGGCAATGTTGCGCAGGCTTTTCTGAATAATTGCTTGCGTGATAACTTTGCGTGTCTACTGCTCGAATTCGCGAACATTTTTCGATGCATAGTCTCTCCTTTACTGGCTCTTAAGAATAGTAACCCACCCTCGCACCTCCTGCAGTGAGAATAAGTGGTTTTTAGTCGAGATTTCAATCTCAATTATGGGGATCGCACGCGCTCCAAGCTCAACCGACCAAATAACTCGAGTGAATGTGACATGCGCGGAGAAATAGGTCAAATTTAGCACCTTACTGCTTATTTATTTATTTTCTTATTAAAGTCATTGATAGATGAATGATCGAATGTTGATCATTAATAATTTATATTAATATTAAATAATTAATAATATTAATATTAATTTTATAATTAACTAATTAATATGCAATAGATTTTCGTTTCAGTGGTTGCAACCGCTTATTTCGGCCTTTAACATTTTTTAAACGAGGGCCTATATATAATATTAATTTGTTGAAGGCAATGGCAGGCCAAACAGATAAGATCGTTAGGCCAGTTCAGACCTCGCGGGGCTCGCGGTGCTGATCCCTGTGTTAACGAGTCGTGTTGCTAACGAGTCGTGTTGCTAACGAGTCGTGTTGTTAACGAGTCGTGTTGCTAGCGAGTCGTGTTGTTAACGAGTCGTGTTGTTAACGAGTCGTGTTGCTAACGAGTCGTGTTGTTAACGAGTCGTGTTGTTAACGAGTCGTGTTGCTAACGAGTCGTGTTGTTAACGAGTCGTGTTGCTAGCGAGTCGTGTTGTTAACGAGTCGTGTTGCTAACGAGTCGTGTTGTTAACGAGTCGTGTTGCTAACGAGTCGTGTTGTTAACGAGTCGTGTTGTAAACGAGTCGTGTTGCTAACGAGTCGTGTTGCTAACGAGTCGTGTTGCTAACGAGTCATGTTGTTAACGAGTCGTGTTGCTAACGACTCGTGTTGCTAACGAGTCGTGTTGCTAAACGAGTCGTGTTGCTAACGAGTCGTGTTGCTAACGAGTTG